GCCGCCGCTGCTGCCGCCGCCACCGCCATGGCTGCCGTCTCGGCGGTCGTCGCGACCGCTGGAGCCGAACGAGTCCACAAACTCCTCATATACTTTTGCAGCCTCCTCCTCAGCTTTCTGTTTGATCATATGAATGGATAATATGCATGAACTGTAGCTTGATGCAGTGTGAGAAGCGCTTTGACCTCAGAGATCCAAGTGCCTCAAAGACCCAAGTGAGCAGCACAGAGACATGCGCAGCACGACACCAGAAAAGGTTGCACTGGAACCGCCACAGACGCCCTCCGCCGGCGCCCATCCACTACCCGGCCAGCCACGCGTTCCCGCCTCTACACGCGCCGCCGCGGGCTGGACCGTTACAGTACAGTGAGATTTCAGATCCGGAGCGCCAGATCAGACCGGTCGCTGCGGTGATCTGGTCGCGCCCGCACCACTCACCCTCTTTTTCTCCTCCTCCAACTCCTTGTGCCTTTGAAAAGGCGTCTTCTTCTTCTGCCGTGGTGCTCATGGGATTGGGCCCGGCCGCGGTCGTCAGTCAAACGGGTCGCGGCACGGGGCCGGAGGGGGGGCGCCGTGGCGGGCGGCGCCGCTGCCGGCACGGGGACGGGGCCCCGCCTTGCGGGCGTGCTGTCCGCCTGGCGGCGGCCGAGGGTGCGTGCGGCGGCGTTCCGTCCCGCCGCGCACCTGGATCGTGAAGCCCTTCATCTTGGCGGCGCCGCTGCTGGTTGTGATTGCGCAGAACAGCGCGTGCCTGGCGCTCGCGGCGTGCGCAGCGGTATCCCTAGTGCCGTGCCAAGCCGCTGGGCTGTGCACAAGGGCGCACGGTGCTGCCGCTCCTGCCAGCGACAGGTGGGGCTGCTCAGCGCCCTTGAACTGTAGATATGTAAAGCGGCCGTTCTGTCAACGAGAGAGTGCTGGATGGCTCAGCAGGTGGTACCGTACACTGAAGGCGAGCCCATCCTGTCAGTTCTGGCCTCGCTGGATCTGAGTGCTGTGTACGAATCGCATGATCAAGCTCACGAATGCCATACTGACAAAGTCACGCACTTGACACGCTTGCCGTGCTAAAATGCGTAAGGGAAGGCAGATCGTTCTTTGCGCACCATCCCTTCAGCCCCTACAAGCTGCCATGAATCGAGCACGGCAGTACCGTAGCCGTGAGGAAGGGTTAACGAGGCCTGTATGAGCTGTAGCCACTCCCAGTGATCTGAAGGTGCCACTGTCGACGGAGGGTCGAGCGTCAGTGATTTCGGAAAGGAGGAGGCGCTGGCACCAAGATGGTCAGTCATCAGGAGGATTGCATGTCTGGGCCTTCGACATAGCGAAGGAGCAGTGGAGGGTTCTCTGGCTGGCAGCCCTGCCCGTAGCAACGAAGTGCTCATTTTGGTGACATGATTTTCTCGTACACCTGCCAGCAGGTCGTGGTGAGGCCAGGGCAGCGCAACTTGAGCGCGCTCACCGCCATTGCATGCTGTTGCCCGACCGCCCCCGTTCCGCCGCCGCGCGCCGCCCCGCAGGCGCCCCGCGTTCCCGTGCCCCTGCGGGAAGTAGTGGTGAGCAGCGGGTGCCTCGTGGCTCCGCAGCTCCGCCCACCTCGCTGCGCCCCCTGTTCCAAATGCCTCCAGCGTCCAGCATGCTGTGCCCTGGCGCGCCCGAGCCGCCCCCTGGGATCGCGCCCGACCGTGCTGCCCCCTCCCCCAAATGCCACCATCGACAGTATACACTGTCACCCTACCAACAAGAGATCTTGAAGCAGGGCATTGAGAAAGTGCCCGGGAAGGTCGTCAAGTTCGTGAAGCGGGTGCGCTGGGGCTGGTGGTGGGGTGTGGATCATCAGCGGCAGCCGCGGCAGCAGCAGCGGCAGCAGTGGCAGCAGCTGCTCCAGCAGACAGAGGGTTGGCGGTGGCACCTCTACGGTGGCAGCTGCCCGGCCGCAGCATGAGGCGTGGGGCTGGCAGCAGTATGCACTTCACAGGGGTTGACGTGACAGCAACACCAGCGGCAGCAGTGGCAGCAGCGGCAGCAGCGGCAGCTGCGGCAGCAGCGGCGGCTGCTGCTCTGCAGCAGGCGTCGGCGTAACGGGCACAGCTTCACGCACAAGTCAGGAAGGATAGCGGCAGCGGCTGCGTCAGGGGCGCGGCGGCAGCGGCAAGCAAGGCGTGTGCTGGCGTCCTTCGAGGGAGGGGCGCCCAGGCCGCACGTTCCTCATGCCCTCCTGGCTGCTGCGGCCCGTTCTGACGCGTCGCCATGCGCATTCTGATTGATCTCCTGCCTGCAGAATGCGGCCGGCTACGGCATCCTGCTGTCAGTGCTGTTCGTGCCCATCTGGTGAGAGGGTAGGGCGCGGGGCACGCGCTCTCGTTGCCCTGAGCTGTTTGTGCAGGGGAGGCGGACGCCGGCCGGCCCCGGCCAAGGCTGCTGAAAGAGTGCAGCCGACCGCGAGGCTGCTGGGTCGCCCGGCTTGGGTGGCTTGGAGCGTGCGGGTGAAACTGCAACACCGAAGGTTTTGCAGCGGTCGGAGCCGCGCGGGGCGGCTGGCGTGCGGCGGCGTCGCGCTGCTGGAAGCTGTTGGGCCACCAAGTTTGCGGAACACGCTTTGACCATGGTGTTGACCCTGTGTGGTGATCGGCCCGATCCCCTCTTTCGGACAGGTATGGCGATTGGTACACGGAGCGGGAGAAGATGCGCTCTAGGTACTAGGCAGCTTCCTGGCAGCTTCCAGAGCGGCGGCCGGTAGAGTGGGCGTGCCCTGCTGGCGCAAGTAGCGTTGGCTGGGCTCTCATGATACAGGCGCCGCAGCACGGCTTGATGTTCTTGGTCGGATGGCGCCCTAGCCCATGCTTGGGGGTTTGGGCCGCCCCGGTCATGATGTTGTTGTGTAACAGACATGTGCTTGAGTTGGTGAAGGTGGGCCGAGGAGGGTTTGGGGCCGTTCAGCAGAGGGGTGGGCAAGTGAGGGAGCTATGGAGGGCACTGCGAGCTGGCGGTTTGACCAATGTCCAAGCCCGTGTGCTTGCGTGGTAGGCGCCGGAACGCATATTGCGATAGTACATGGGCTGTGTGCTCCTAGGTACCAGCCGTGTACGGGCGTGCAGTCAGCAGAGGCCCCCCGCCATGAGAGCGGCAGGTTGCACAGGCGCTGGGTGGTTGCTGCAGGGCCTGGTGACGCGAGCCACTCAGATTGTCAAGATCTGAGTAGACAGTCGTGATGAAGTATTTCTTACTCTCATTGCATCTACACCCTCCGTGTCCAGCGCAGCCGATGATCTTATAATGCGCGCGCTGTAAGCACGTCCCCGCCCTTCATTTCTGGGCCCACCTACAGATTACGTGTTTAAGGACTAAGATGCGCCGTGCAGCGCTTCAGTCTGCGCTGGCAGCACATTGCGGCGGCTCGGCAACATTTGCCAGGTGCGCTACGTCGCCGCTGTGTTGCCGCTCGCCCCTGCTTGGCAGAGCCTGGCCGCCGCACGCCTAGCAGCGCATCCGCATGTTGCTCATACCAGATACCTTTTCACTTTTGCAGGGAATTCGGCCTGTTGCTGCCGCGGCTGTTGGCGGGCTGCTGCTGGCCGCCCGGGGCAGCCTCAACGCCCGCCCTGCCTGCAAATGCAGCAGCGACCGCCACTGTCCACTCCGCGGCACAGCCGGCGGCGCGCCGTCCCCGCAGGCGCGACGCGGGCGGCGGCGGCAGCGGCGGCACCGAGGGCGCCTTTGATTCCGTGTTTGGCTCACAAGCGGACGCGGAGCAAGCGGCGGCGGAGGCGCGGGTGTCGCAATTAGAGCTCCGCCTGTCGCGCAAGGCGGTGCCCCAGCCGCGCGCCGCGCCCCTGCCGCCCGTGCGCCGCGCCACCGATGGCGCGGATCTGCCGCCAGAGGCGGCACCGGGCGGCCGGCGGCGGCGCGGGTGGGCGGGCGACGAGGGTGGGGTTGGATCTGCTTGGGGGGACGCGTCGACGCAGGCGGCCCGCGGGTGGGTGCAGCAGCAGCAGCAGCAACA